GGCTGCCCCTTCCCGTGCGCCGCCTTCCCCGAGGAGGGCCTGGAGCGCTGGCGTTGGGCGCAGGTTACCGAACTGAAAGGCTGCGGGGCCCGCGAGGCACCAGGAGGCAGGGCTGGGGCTGTCGGGAGGGTTCAGCTCGCCGCCGCCCCGCACTCGAGAGGCTCTTGGGAGGAGCCCGCAAGGCCGGTGCTGCTGGAGTCCCTCTCCAGGCTGGGTCTGGTCTGGGTGGACACAAGCGCGTTACGATTCTTCTCGTGTTGGAGAAGTTGTCTGCACGGTTAAGGCAGTGGAATTTCAGATGCTGTCGCATGAGTAGGACCAGATCGTTGCCCTTTTCCCGTTCCTTCTTTCTCTTAGATTATTATTTTCCTTAATTCGTGCTACACCCCTTCTCTGGCAGCAGCGAGGGAGTTGCCTCCTCGAGTGGCCGCATCCTTGCCCGCCTGTTGTACCAGGCTGCGAGATATGGTTGGGCCTGTCTAGTAGGCAGCGAGGACTGAGACTTGAGTAAAAATACCTCGGTCTCTTCCAGTTACCCTCGGAGAGGTCAGTAAAGACCAGGCACTCAGGCTGTAATCGCAGCACTGGCCGCAGAGCGGCGAAGACTAGCCAAAGGAGCTCTGGCCATCTCGGCCACCTTAGTACTGGCCAGTGTGGGCTGCCAAGCCCAAGAAGCAGGTCAATGTGTTCAGGGGCCGTGGAGCTTTGGCTGGGGCCGTGCTGGAGCAGTGGCCTTAGGGGTCTGAGCTGGGCATGCCAGAACTTTTCTGGAGTCCAGCTGGACTAAAGGCCTGGCTTCAACATGTGACGGGGAAGACTCTGCGCGTGGAGGCCTCTGGTTCTGCTCGAAATGCCTTTCCGTGTCTGCGTGTGGCCCTGAGAGCCTTCCCTTTGTCCTGTGGCGAGAAGGGCCGCGCTCTGCTGCCGCGCGCCGCTCACAGGAATCGGGGTTTCCTACCGGTGCGGGGAACCAAAGCGGACGCAGCCAAGCTTGATGCCTAAAACCCCCTTTTTATTGTTATGGGTAATTGCAATGTAGTTTATTGCAGCCTTTAGGTGGCTGTATTTTATACAGGTTAATCTTTTATGCTTGTCATGTACTTTTCTTAACGTTGTTTTTTTTTCCTCTTTAAGTCAGCTGCAAGACTTCGCCAAATTGCAACCAAAAGACAGTCTCACGCCACCAAAAGGTAAGATAGCTGTTTGTGGGACTTGTGTCGCTGTTCCTCCACTGTGTGTTCGTCAGCTGGTTTAGCGCTTCCCTCTGCGTGCCCCTGGTGCTGTGAAGAGGGAGAGCTGGCGAGGAGTCTCCCTGTAAAGCTAAATCTGAACACCTGGTTACCTCAAGCTCTCCGCATTCATGAGCAGGCCGCTCGTCTAGCTGGTGCCTCTCCTCTGCCATCCTTTGGAAAGAAACTGGCAGTATTAATATTTTTTTTTGTCAAATCACAGAACTTGTTCTTTTTGTAACATCTGTATTAAGGTACTTCAAACACTTTTCTTCTGATGGTATTTTTGCGTGATGGCTGAAGAAAGAAATGTTAAATGATGAAAACAAACGATGGCAAAAGGTGTGGGAAAGAAAGAGAGGGGGAGAACTAGGTGCAAGGCATAGGGTAACCAGTTTGTGTAGGAGAAAAGACATTGGGCAGTGCCGAAACAGTTCCAGGCGAAGCAGAAAAAACGAGCTTAAGTCCAAACAAAGAATAAGTTACACGGTGAAAGGAAGTGGGAGAAGATGACCGGAGCAGTGGGTGGAAGGCTGAGTACGCATGGGGAGGGCTGGGAGGAGGCACGGCAGGGCCAGCGGGGTGCCTGGCCGGCCGCACGGCAGTGCCGTCCACGCCCTCGCGTCGCCACGGGCTGGGTTTGCTGCTCGTTGCTGTTGCCGCCCCTCCCCGAGCGCCCAGACCCCGTGAGGCCGTCAGCCTGCGCCGCGCTGCGAGCGCTGTGCGCCTGAGCCTGCTCTGTGCCCTCGGGCTTCCACGCAGGGCACCTGGGTCGTTTAACCGTGGCTGTAATCTCGCAATGCTCCGACTGTTCTAGAGCTAAGCCGAGGAAGGCGGAAGATGAAACGGTGCGGCGAAGGTCGAAGCGCTTACAGAGAGTCGAGCCGTCGGGAGTGCCGATGCCGGAGACGCCTGCCCAGCCAGAAGCAGAGGAATATGTGAGATGGGGACGGGTTAGAGGAGATCTGTGTGTGTCTGTGTGTGTCTGTGTGTGTCTGTGTGTGTCTGTACACAGCAGCTTTATAAAACCGGTGCTGGCAAAGTTGACTAATAACACCTGTCATTGCTGAGCTTACTGGAAATCCCTTCAGACGTGTGGGAAGGTGCGTTATGCAGCGGCAATAATAAAAGGTAAATTCTTTCACCCTCGAGCATCCTGAGCAGGCTTCCCGTGTCCTCTGGGTGTGAGTCAGCGTTGTGTGACTCAGGTTGGTGCAGTCCTGCAGTTTGGGGTGATCAGAAGGGTCCTGAGGTAAAACGTGACGTGTTTCTCATCAGCCCATAGATTTGAGCAGCTTTAAATTCAGAGCTTTATTACTCTGGTTTAATGTTATTTCCCTGTAGCTTTTGATCTGTTTTATTTTCCTTTGAAATATTTATTACCTTTTTGAAGTAGTTATATGGCAACAAGTGAAAATCCTATTGCTCTGGGAGATGGGAATTTAAATCTTCTGTGCTGTAGAATAAAGCTAAATCTCGGTAATACAGTTCTCGAAGATCAGCCTTGCTGGAGTATCAGAAAGGAGAGGAAAAACACAGGGCAGCTCTTTGTCTTTGCTGCCGTGTTCAGTAAGGTTCTGTTTATCTTTTTAATAAGATTTTGATACAAACTTTTTTTTTTAGGGTTTATTTCTTGTGTTGTTGTAGATGTGTTCTCAGACTATCTGGTGCGTGGAAAGTCACAATTCGCCCTGTTTGTAATTTTAGTGAGTTCTGACCGTGGCTGATGTCGTTGCAGCCTCAGGTTCCAGCCGGGCCTTTGCCAATGATCCCCGAAGATCAGGTGGGGAACAGCACCTCGACAGAGGACTTGCTGACTACCTGGATGAGGATAAGTGAGGTAGTGTTAGTTACAGCTGGTTGTTTTTTTGGTAACATAATCTAGCTCAGGTTCTAGCTCTGATAAATATTCCCTGTCTGTCTGCAGATGAAAGCTAACGGCACTGAAAAGCGCACGCCTGACATGACAAGGTATCTGAAGGCAGCAGCTAAAAACTGGGTGCTGTCCTGTTCTCCTTCCTTCTCGTGCATAGCTAACGTTTCCTGATGTGGTCTAGGTACCAGGACGGCCTGAACAGCATGGTCCTCAGCGAGGATAACGTCAGGAAGGTGGTGAAGTTCCGCGTGTGCTCCATGGCTATCCATCCTTCCGAGAGCACCATCCTTGTGGCAGCCGGAGACAAGTCCGGGCAGATCGGTCTCTGGAATGTGGTGAGTTGTCAGGTCCTCCTCACCTGGCAGAGCTGTGTGAGGGCACAGCCTGGGGCATCGTTTTGTCGGGCTCGTGATGGTGTTTTGGACTTTCCCCCTTCTTACGGGTAACACCAGGGCGTCCGTGAAATTGAGGCTCGCCAGAATGGCTTGAAAGGTCTGTCGGGTCCTTGGCAAGAGCAGGTTTAATGGGAGGAAGGGTTGCACTGCTAATTTTCGGGGGCAGAGCGGAAGAAAATGGATGACTAGCTGAAAGTAAAGGTTAAAATAAGATAGCTGCAGTGACTAGCATCTGTATCCACTGAATCTCAATTGGTTTTCAGAACTGTAAGTCGGAAGAAGGAGCACGAGCCTTTCTCCCGCACAGCTACCTGGTCAGCTGCATGCATTTTTCCCCCTCTAACCCTGCTCACCTGCTGTCTCTGAGCAATGACTCGCTGCGGTGCGGGGACGTTACGAGAGCTGTCTTTGACGAGGTGAGTGCTCCCGCGGCTGGGCTGCGGGCTGCTCCGAGATCCCTTGGTGTGTGCTGCTGTGAGGTTCTCGTTGTACCCAAATTGTTACTTGTTGGGTGTTTTGTTAACAAGAAAGTTCAAGATTGCATTTGCACAAGGACACGTGAAGGAACCTTTAATTAAGGTCATAAAAATGTGGAGATGCTTCCTACTCAGTAAAACAGCAACAGCTTGTGTGCTCCCCATTGCCTCCCTGCAGAGACAGTTGCAATTATTGAACTTAATTTCCCATCTCCCTACTTAAGCAGTGCGTGCCTCTTTTCAAGAGCATTACCTTTTAACGGTGACAAACGAGGGCAACTTCAAGAACTGCATCTTGCCAAAAAAGCCCCCACCCGAATAAACACTGTGAAACAGCACAAAGCTTGAGCTGACTTTGCTTTTCTCAGGCTTCAAGCGAGCAAAATGCTGTGACTGTCTCCGGGGTGAGCCAGGCAGCTTAACCGAGGAGCTGCCTGGTGCTGGCTGCGTTTGCGTAGTTTTGGGGGTCAGCTCTCCGACATGGGAAACCAGAACCAGCTACGACAGTTGCAGCTTTTTTTCCCAGCCCTGACAGGCACCGTAGTTTTGGGGGGTTGCGGGTGCGCCGGCTGCTTGGGAGGTGTCTGGGTGGTCGAGAGGCCGGTGCAGGGGGGCTCGTGCTTTGGGACAGATGCTGGCAAGAACGTGTCTTAGGAGGCTGGGGAGGAGCAGGGCCGTTCTCCTGCTCCGTTGTGCCGGCTTAGCCAGCCTCGCGAGGCCGCTGGGAGTGCTGCTGCCACGGGGGAGGGCGGCTGCTGGTGGGAGCCTGCACAGCCAGAGCGCTGGAGCTGGGAGCTCTCCTGCAGCGCTGTTGTGCTCGTGGCTAACTGCTGCTTTGAGGGGAAACTGCCGTGGGATGAGATGGCTGACGTCCTGACCCCGATCGCCCAAATTACGGGAAGCCAAATTCACAGCGGTGCACCCCATTAAAGGTTTCTGCAGCCCCGGAGAAAGGGACGGTGTCACTAGTCCTCGCTGGAGGGTAGCAGCCATGCGATTGCTGGAGCAGAGAGGTGACAGGGTGTTGTCAGGGGTCAGACAGAGAGTTCGGAGAATGTTGTTGCCAGTTTGGTTTGGATGTTCCTTAATTACCTCCTCCGTGGAATGCAGTCTTACAGGGATGGCTGAGGCTGGAGCTCTCAGATGAGGTACTAATTCATTAGCACCTTCGGTGTATTAAAAAGGGAAAGCATGAAATCCCCAGCCTGTGGAGCATTCTAGGTGTTAGGAATAACTCTGGGTATTTCGTTGAATAGTTTTTGTTTCCTCTGACCCTTTCCACGCCCAGATATGCAGAAGCGAAGAAAGCTTCTCTTCCTTTGACTTCCTGGAAGAGAACGCCTCCACGGCGGTAGTAGGACACTGGGATGGCAGCGTCGCTGTGGTGGACAGACGGACCCCGGGGACGTCTTCAGAGCTTCTGGCAGACATCGGCTTCACGAGAACGAGGACGGTCCACGTTCACCCAGTGAACAAACAGTATTTCGTGGCTGCTGGCTCCGTGTACGTAGCTCCAAGCGAAGTGCAGTTACTGGGGTTTTCAGGGCTCTGTCTGCATTGGTGCCTGAAGCCAGCGGCAAGCGGCACGTTTGGGGGGCAGGAGCGGCTCTCGGCGAGGCAGACAATTTGCCAGCCTCGGTGTCTGGTCAA